GAATTTAAGACATTTGCACTATCTTTTTCTTTTTGCAAATCCGCAAAATTTTAGAAAGTACTATATATTGAACCAAACGGCTTCCAACAAATAAAAAATATGTTGAAATATTCAATAATCATTGGTTTGATACTTTATTAAAATTTTTGCTACAAAAATTTAAAAAGCGATCTTAGCAAAATCTATTTAGATATCTCGACTTAACTAGAGATGATATATTTTTAATGCACATTTATTTCCTTCCTTCCTTTCTTTAAGGCCCGTGGCCATTGCACGTGGAAAGATTTTAATCATAACCATAAGGCCATAAACAAATCAACCAATCACAGTGAAACATTCTTATTATGTTTTTAAAATGCTTGATTGGTCGATTTGCTTACGGCTTTACGATTACGACTAAAACTTGTTCATATGTAATGGCCTTTAATTTATCAATAATCTAGACATATCTATCTCATTTTGAATGTAGAAAATGCAATAAACGGATTGGCTTTGCGAGACGAGCCTACAATCGAACCATTCTCGATTCGATCCGCGAAACATTCTACGATTCGCGTGGGGGGGGAGGAATCATTCTTGCATTGCGATTCGTTCGCGTGAGTCATAAAGTAATACGTCGACGTTCGGAACAGACGGAATCGGACAGAATCGGATCGAGAGACCGCATGGTGCTAGCGATGGCTGACGAAATAGCGAGGGAGACGTTGCTGAATCGTGTGAAAGAGCAAGGCGAGACAGTACGACAATTAAAAGCTGCGCAGGCCGATAAAACGCAAGTACGAACATCTTTTTTTTTCCCCTCTTCCAAAGATCTCGATTACGTCGTTCCGTCATCGTGACAGATCGATGTTATAGCCTTTCTCTTTTTTGTCCTCGGGTTCTGCTTCGTGCTCAATTATAGATTCTATAATCATATCCCTTTCACTCTCTTCTGCAAAATACGACGAAAGTACATTCGATATCACCACACTCAAGAGCGTTTCACTTTTTTTTATATTGTATGTTTTTACACTTGCTTTCTTTTCATGCGTACTTGACTTATACTTTTCCTTCATATTCCTTCATGATATTATTAAGTCTATTAATTTTAACTGCATTTCCTGCACACTGCATTCTCTTTTTTCACATATATCCTATATACAAAGCAAATAACCAATTATTTCTCGACTAAAGAAATTGCAAAAATGGAAAAACAGACTTACCATTTATGACAATAGACATGATGCAATAAGCCCCTTGCAATACAATAGCAATTCTATTTATCAGGTGCAAAGAATAGATATTGCTTTCTTTATTTGTGTACTATCATTATATATTGGGCCTTTCTTTTGAGAGACATCTTGTTTCTCAGGGATACAGAGAGCAGTTTGATATAAATGTTGAATTAGAAAGCTTAAACAATGATTTTGCGGATGTCAGCTACACGTGTGGTTGGTGCCCAACGTCCAAAGATACTGAACTATTTGACAAGTTATATGTCATTTGTAATGATGAACTTGCAAGGTGGCCGCATCTAAACAGATGGCACGTTAACATGAAAAGCTTTACCCAAGAAGAGC